CTATAAGCTCCACCCAAAATCTACTTGCCCTAAAAGTGAACTTGGCAAAGTAGTGAGATACAAAGTCAATATTCAGAAATCAATGGCATTTTTGTCCACCAACTAAGAAAAAAATACCATTTACTGTAGCAACAACAAAAAATCAAAGTACTAGAAATAAACTTAACTGAGAAGGTAAAAGACCTGTAGTCAGAGACTACAGAATGCTAAAGAAAGAAATTGAAGAAGATACAAATACGTGGAAGCATATACTCTGTCCATGGATTAGAAGAATTAACATCATTAAAATGGCCATACTGCCCAAAGAAATTTATAGATTCAATTTAATGCCTATTAAAATGTTAATGGCATATTTCACAGATCTAGAACAAATATTTTGAAAATTTATATGGAACCCAAAAAGACCCTGAATAGCCACAGCAATCTTGAGAAAGAAGAACAAAGTTAGAGGGATCATAGTACCTAATGTCAAACGATACTACAAGTCCATTGTAATCAGGACAGGCTGGCACTGATCACTTGACCATCTATACTGCAAAGGGATCCTAAGCTCACTAGCTCCTAAAATGTCCATTTTTAAATCTAGGGGAAATAAAGGTCCTAGTTTGTTAGCATAGAATTTTGGCTTCATCTTGCTGCCTTTAATTACCTGACTGTCTTTGCTTCACCAGCCTCTCCCTCACACACAAAGTCCTCCATCCTAAACAGAGAGAACACCTCATCCTTGTGGCTGACTCTAAGAGTACACAGCATGGTCTAGCACCATAGCTTATAGCACTAAATAAAAAGAGTTCAGGCTGACTGCCTTTGTTCAAGATACGATTTCAGTGCCTTCATTTCTTCATCAGTAAGATGAAGATATAGGTCTCAAGTCATAGGGTAACAGGAAGGTCAACGTAAAGTGCCTAACAAAGTGTGTAACACATACTAAACAGAATGTTTAATGGTTTAAGGTGGTTCCTGAAGTATAGAATCAAAGGTTATAGTTTTTTTTCTTATTTCAAGTAGTTCTGAGCCCAACTCACCTCTCCCCATACCTACCAGTTTACTTCACTAGTTGAGTGTGGTCTGTTGACTCAAATTGCTTACTTAGTTCATTCTATGTCTCACACAGAAGGTTTTGTATGTGCCACAGGTTTTTGCATTTAATTATGTCTTATCATAATGCACACATTCTTTGCTTTCCCAATGACATTGCACTTTGGAATTCTGATACACTTTATCATATTTTTACTCCTTCTAAAAATGTCTTAATTTTTTGTCTTCATTTATCCACTCAACAAATATTTACATTTATTTTCCATTATGTGTAAGACCTTGGAATATACAGAAGTGAACAAATAAACACAGTCTGTAGATCTCACTTTTAACAGGAAGAAACACTAAGTAGTCAATCAGGTAAATGCTAATTATACCTTAATATAAATAAATAAATTAAATAGATAGATAGATAAAATATGTCTGGTAGGAGTGAGAACAGTTTTTGCTATTTAATACATTATTAGGTAATTCAGTGAAGACTTAAAAATGATAGGAATAATTCACACAGAACTCTTGGGGAAGAGAGGTCCACATGGAAGAAAGAGCAAAAGCAAACTTCCTTGGGCAAAAAAAAATGCATGACTTGTTGGAAACACATCCAGAGGGCTACTGTTGAGAGCAGAGCACACTGGGAAAGAGTTGTAGTGGATAAAGTCAGAAAAGTATCAAAGGACAAGATAATATACGCTCATTGGTCGTTATCGAGAATTGAGTGTTATGTGTGAAATAGGAAGATGATCTGGAGTTGATGATCTGATTGTAACTCTAAAAAATTATTGTGTAATTGTGGGGAGAATGGTCCTGGCTACAAGGGTCATGGGGAGAAGTTAAAGAAGCTCTGTCAAGTACAATTATAACAACAATTTAATTATATTTACTAACTTCCTTTCTGTATTATGGCTATTCATTCATCTACTCTATCATCTTTGCTAAATTATAATTTCTGTTTGAGGTAGGATTACAAAAGATTTATATATTTAGACATTATAGTTCTTATAGCAAGAAAAAAGACTTTTGGTGCCCAAAGAGTGCAAAGCTAAATTACCACCACTTCCCATCCTTCTTCTACCTCCTCTTCCATACCATGGTTACTTTCCTTGCATTCCAGAATCCCTTGTTAATACAGCATACTCATGTCAGGCAGTATCCCTTTGCATGGTAAAGGGGGAAAAAAGGGTTAAATGTGGGAGTAGATATGTAGAAGACATAGGTCTTATTCACAAAGAATCAGATTTGTGTGTTTGCCTATTTTATGTTTTATATGATTATCTTATAGTGGACCTTACAACACTTTTACTCTATATTAGTATCTTATGCTTCTTTATAAAATATAAAACCTTGCTACCCCTAATTTATAAAATTTCATACATGATGATCTAAATTATCTCAGTTCTAACTAAGTAGTTTTAAGAATAGTTCTATAGCAATACAAGAAAATAATATAAAAATGTGTTTTTTTTTCTCCTAAGTCTCATTCTAGGGATTTTCTAATGTATGTCTTAAAAAGCTTTGGGTTGGGACCAATACCAATTAGGAAAGATAGTTATGTAAGCCCAGAAGACATAAAGGGGTGTCTCTCTTTTTTTTACCACACAGAAGTTAACTTCTCTTCTCCCCTGATGGCCAACGTGCCAGAACAGAGGGAGAATGCTTATGTTAGGACTAGAAGTTATAACCCAGATCAGGCTTATGAGAGTTCTAGTGTGCAAAGGCTCGCTAATCCCCGTGGTTCTCTAACCCCACAACCCCACACACACATGAAGGTAAAGCTGCCGCTGCCTCTAGGGAAAGGGAAATACCAGTCAAAGTGTTCAAAATCAGACCTTCATGGTAAAATATCCGTTAATAATTAATTTTCTGCTTCCTTTAGAATAGGACAGGTTAAGCAGTTGGTCACATTCAGTAAATAAGAAATTACTTGCAGTAATTTCTGCAACATTCTAATCATCTTGCCATTTCTGAAACCTATTTTAAAAGTCTTTGATCTGCATTATGGTGGAAAGGACATTGGATGTAGAAATATTAAACTTGATTATAAATTCGACTTTGCCACTCACTGTTTAGCATGGCTAGGAAAAGTCATATAGCCTACACATTACAGTTATTTTCTGGTGGTGAATTGGACATAGCAACCCATACCCTACAAGGTTGTTATAAGCACCAGATAGAACATGTGAAGGCCATGAATGCAGAAGTCACACAACAAACACTTCATGAATCCAGATAGTAAATACAAACATTGGAATTATCACCACCCTGGTAGTGATATCTTAGTGTTCTACCCAAATGTGATCTTGTGAAATGGGAACAATGTCTCCTCTATCTTCTTTCTGCATATTATTAAGAATGGTGATGTACTATAATAGTTTAATTATATCATTAAAGTGGGTTTTATTTTCTTCATTAAAAACATAAGTAAAAGCTTTCCAATTAACAGTGACCTTTATGACTTCTACTAGTTTGGATTCTGTAGATGGTGAAGCTGACTACAAATTAGATTCTGCAATGTACCCAGTTCCTTATTTTTTTTTCGCCCACTGATTAGTTTCATACAATCCGAAGCACCCTGCCCTGTTGTATTCAGCTTGCAATTTGTAGCAATCTCATACTGTGTTCAATCCCCGAAGGTGTTCTGTAGAAATGCTGTCAAACTATTTTGATGTATGTGTATTTTCATTTTGTAGCTGTTCTTTGTACTCATTTAAGAGAATCAGTCTTTAATTTGTATCAGAACATTTTCAAGATGAAACACAGAATTTCAGGTCTCAGCAAAATCACTGACATGTGACCACAGCCTCCTGTTTTAAATGTCGAGTTGCCTGACTTCTATTAGATACAAAGCTATATTTTTGAACCTCGTTATAAAATACAACTTTGAATAAATGGCTTCAAACTTGGCCTTAAAATGTGCTATATGTCGTCATGCTTACCATCATCATCTGGTTCCAGTTTACCTTTCCAATTTCATCGCTCATCCCTCCCCTTTTCCCAGGCTTATTGGTACCTCATTGTAATGCCTGATTCTCTCTCTCAGCTTTCCTTGGTCTTGCCAGCATACAGCACCTGTGTCTAGAAAGCCATGTCTTCCACTTCTCACCCACTTTATCTCAGGCATTTCTTGTCCTATCCCAGAAAGCCTTTTTCTATACCCAAACACCTATTCTGAGTCAAGTAACCCTCTTTTGTCTCTCATGATCATTTTGTTTGAGTTAATAAAATTATTTTTCTTATAGTATTAAATGCATTGCTTGGTTGTGTTTCTTACTAGACTAAAAGAATGAGGCCAATACTTTTTTGAGTCCATAAATAGTAGATGCTTCATAAATGTTTATTGGATAAATGAATGCTACCTGGAAAAACTGTTGGTCAGTTTACTGAAAAGACGACAGTAATTTGCTACTAAAGTTATTATATTGAAATTGCTATATTTAATCACAACAGCAATATTATCAGTGAAATGTGGTGTATAGTGTTAGCATGCAAACTCACCACTCTGCTAATGCAGGTGATTTTAAAAATAACAACCATTCTGTGCTTTCTGCATCTGGTTCATTATACTTAGGGTTGGACTGGATTGAATGAGGCTGACTCATAGGCTTTTCCTACTACTTATAATTTCAAAGAACAAAACGTGTTAATGTCAAAAATTTTATGTGAACTAATTTAACCTTATTTTAATTTACCTGTCATCCACAAGAAATGAAAACTGATTTTGACAAGACTTGCATTAAAATGCACAGACATACAAAACAAAACAAAACAAAACTGTGTGCAGGTATTGTTTCATATTTGTATTGGGAATGGAAGACATACCAGTGTATTCATGTCTCCTGTGTTTATGTCTGACATTTGCATTTGATGAAGTGCTATAATCCAGCATATGAAAATACAGTCAGAACAAAGATAATGTCTTTCATTTTCATTTTGATTAATAGTGTTCTGTTTCGGATCATTTGTAGGTGTTATTTGGAAGATGGAGGTTCAAAGGGTGCCTGGCTGAACCGGTCAAGTATTATTTTTGCTGGAGGTGATAAGTGGTCAGTGGACCCTCGAGTTTCAATTTCAACACTGAATAAAAGGGACTACAGTCTGCAGATACAGAACGTAGATGTGACGGATGATGGCCCATACACGTGTTCTGTTCAGACTCAACATACGCCGAGAACAATGCAGGTGCATCTAACTGTGCAAGGTATGCATTTCCATAACCATTGTATTGTGAAGGACTACAGTTATAAATGTTCAATATTTAGATATAAATGTGACTCAGAAGTAACTGACAATGTTGAAAGATATGTTGTCACTGTCTTCAGGGACTTATGTTCCTAGATTCCATTAAGTGTAATGGCTATTACAGTCATACAACTCCTCACTCTCCAATATCAAAATCTATCCATTAACACCACATTACAATTTTTTGTGTATGATTCACTTTGTATCTTTCCTTGAGTTACTCTTTCAATACATCGTTGAGAACCCATGATTGATACATTAAAATAAATATTTGATAACCTGTTATGGATACATTAAAACATGAGAACTTTTTGAAATATGGATAGTAACTCCTTAGAAGTGATTCTCCAGCTTTCTAACACTCTGTCCCAATCCAACTTCTGTACACTTTGATTAAAGTCACAATGAAAAGAAACAGCCTTCTATAAATACTTAATTTAAATATAGAGTAATTGAAAAAATATGGTACACAATGCTTTATACTTTGATGTACTTTCAGTGGCTCATTTATCATTTCAGCTAACTTGCAATCTCCAAATACAAACAGAATCATTAAATTATATTATTTTTCTTGCACACTAAAATTTAAGAGCATATTTATCTTGAACACAAATACTTTTTAAGAAAATGAAATTATGTTGCTAATAGAATAGAAAATGTATATTTTCAGCCCTTTACATTATTTCCTCATGCATTTTAGATTAATCATGTGTTCATTGCATAGAAATATTGTGCTGTGGAACTCAAAATGATATTGCAACATCTCTAAGAAAAATTAATAACAAATTATATAATGTGGTGCAAGTGAATACATGTTTTATTCCTAACTGGAAAGCTGAGTAAGCAAGTTATTTGCATTACCTCTGAGTTTACCCTTTAAATAATTAACACTAACTGTTAATTTATGTGCATGGCTTACATCTAGAAAATATTGTTAATCTACAATTTTATTAACTGAGCTTTATTTCCTTACATAAATGTAAACCTAAATTGAAATACAGCTTCAATTATTAGTAAATATTTTAACTTTGTGATAAAAATTAAACTTATTTATTAAACAATTAACTTTATGGAAGTAAATATAAATTGACAATTACATCAGTGAATTTCCACAATGGCTTTTCTTATTGCAGATCACTGCAGACGGTAAAATGTCCCTCATTTAATAGCATAGGAGAATATCATAGTTTCCACTAAAGTCTGTCTTTGTTCAGAGATTATCCAGCGATTCCCAAGGGCAGGAGTTTGTCTAGTTTTAAAAACTGACAAGAGATTACAAGTCAGAAACACATTTCTCCTGTTATCCAGGCCTAACCCTAACCACGTCTTCAGTTCAGGTCCCTTTGACTTGAGTTTCTTGCTCAGAGACTACAAAGGATTCTTATTACATAAGAAAAAGTAAATTTGTACAGTAATATATTGGAGTCACTTGAGATACAGACTTTTTACTTCCTATAGATTTAAATGATATGTTTCTAGATACATTAAGTCCTCTTTTGTTTTTTCCATTCTTTCTTGTTTCATGTTAGGCCCAGATCTTTAAACCAGACTATGGATATACAAACCCTGCCCAGGCACTTGTTTAATTTCCATAGGATTTCTTTTTAACTTCATATTGCATAGATTGTTTTAATATAGTACACATTCTTGTTTGTTTTTTTAACATTTGGATGGTGGGTTTTTCTTTTTTCTTTTTTTTATTTTTTAGATTGTATTTATTTATTTTTAGAGAGGGAAGGGAGAGAGAGAGAGAAAGAGAGAGAGAGGCATCAATATGCGGTTGCTGGGATTCATGGCCTGCAACCCAGGCATGTGCCCTGACTGGGAATCAAACCTGCGACACTTTGGTTCGCAGCCCGCGTTCAATCCACTGAGCTACGCCAGCCAGGGCTTAATATAGTACATATTCTTAAAGCTGTTCCATGCCTCACTCTGTCACTCTTTTTTGCTGGCCATTTGATGATGGTGATATTTTGGGCACTATTTCATGGAATACATGTTAGGAATGCACTTAGTGAATGTTTTATCACTATAATATTTTGTTCCTCTAGAAAAAGAAAATTTCTGTTACTGTTTTGAAAGTATGTACTTGGGTCAAATTAAAAGCTAATAATTTTACAGTATTCATGAACATAATTACATATTGGGAGTTGATTGGCATGTGAACAGTTTTCCAATTACATTAATAAAGTTCAGGGAATACATACACTAATAGGCTTGTCAGTCAGTTCAAGAACTAAGTAAATGTCATAAAAAGTCACCCCTACTTAAGCTACATTTCCATCTCAAAGAACAAAAATAAACTGATATGTTCACCTCTTCAGCCTCTAGATTGGTCGTCTGCCATGCAGATGTATCTGGATAGTTTTGAAGGGCATGTTCTTTGCCTAACAATTTGTTAAGCCTTTACTTACCATAATAAAGAAACTTAGCAAGCAAAAGAAGAATACAAATCACTGATGCTGAACAAATATTGGCTGATAAAAATAAAGCTCATCTTTAATTGTTGCAGCCATGTACTCAAGGGAGCTACTTAAAAATAAAATCATTTTAGAAATGGGATAATAAGAAGGATATCTTGTCAAGGCAGACATTGTAATGGGAAATTTGTTGGTGCTATTGGTTTCTTAGAGCTATTAATGTCAATGAATAAACCAATGAGAAAGAAAAACACTGGAATACAAGTTGGAAAACCTGGATTCCAATTCTGAAATTTTTCTCATGAAATGGGTAATTATCCTGCCTCTCTAAACTCTAATTTTCTCATTTGAAAGATGAGAACTCAGTAAATTTTAAGGTCCACAGCAGTGAAAATCAAAAAGACTGATGACAAAAAAAAAGTTCACTTTGATTTTCTGCTTTTGATTTGAAGTGAAAAAAGTGGTTTAAGTTAAAAATGAAAAAAAATTCCACAACACTTGTATTATGCACTGTGCAAACTAATTTTTACATAGTAGCACCTAGCATTTACTCCAAAAATATGCTTTGTTTGTCTCCATGTTTTTCTTTCACCATCTGAGCAAAATAATGTGTGTACTCATGGAATTTGAAGAATGTGGTGAATTGGAGTTTTGCTTCAAGAGGATGAAAATTGGCTTAATTACTGAAAAAATTACTCCATGAAAAAAATATTTATAATACTGATAAATTGAATTACCTAATTGCTCACTGTTTCAACTATTTTGTGCAAAATTTACTAAAAGTAATCTTTCTTGGTCTTGAGTATGAAAATGTACAAGGCTGTAGCACTAGTTATGAAGTCAGAGATTCCTTTTATAATACTGGAATGGTCAGAAGCATGAAGTGCAAATACTGTCCACACAAAAAAGGATGGTTCTTACTTTGAGTTCAGGTTGGAAGTCTAGGTTGTTTGCAGCACATAGTGGACTCTGGCAGGTGATGTATAACAGCTAAATATATACACAACAGTCCTAGACAACACCTTGGTTGCAGCCCTATAAGACTATGAATGCAGACTCAACAATGTGCCTGGACAGAAACTGAGATAATAAATATATGTTGTCTTAAGACCCACCCACCCCACCACACACAATATATAGACTGTTTATCACTCCACTTGTACCCTTTCAGGGAGATGCATTATAGTTTTCTCTAGGTAGAATGAAAGATCTAACTAGCATATAACTCTCTGGCCAAGATAACTTCTCGTGTATTTAACTTTCCCAGTGATCACTAATTACATCAGGGTATGTGATTACCTAAAATATTTGTTGTAGATGGGATGCTATGTTTCCTTTTCCAAAGATGGGCTTGTGAAATGTCATCAGCAGACTTTATTTAGTGGTCAACTCTCAAAGACAGCCTCAGCACTAGCTAACCTTTGCCTAGGGCAACCAACAGCTGATGACTGGATGAACCAGGGAGTAAAGAGACCCCTCTGTTTCAGCCTAAGAAGGTAAATCAGATGGGCCATGGGCTCCAGATAACTGAAGCTGTTAGCTTATCTCCTTCCTTTATTCAAACTTATTTTCTTCTTCCTCCAGGGATTTGTCATAAAGATATTTCCTAATAAATACCCTGCACTGTAAACTCCATCTTATTCCAGTGTTTGCTTCCCAAAAATGCTAAACTATGACAATGTTAGATCCTTGCCTCTGGCTAACTCATTGTTTTGAGAAAGCCTTTATAAAGTGAAAAGACAATGCATTCAACCACCATTTATTATTAACAGTCTGTTTTATATTGGAAGGGATTTAAAGTGGCTTCTAAAGTGTTTAGTACACCAAGATAAATAGGAGAAATCTGAAGCAAACCATAAGGTAAGAGTAGGATGGTGTCAGAGGTGAGGTTAGATAAAATTTGTGACATGATTTCTATATGTTTTTTAAAAAATTATATTTTATTGCTTATGCTATACAGCTGTCCTGATTTCCCCCCTTTGCCCTCTTCTACCCAGCACCCCCCACTTCCACAGGCAATTCCCACACCATTATTCATGTCCCTGGGAGATGCTTATAAGTTCTTTGGCTCCTCCATTTCCTGTACTGTGCTTTGTATCCCCCCTGGCTATTCTGTAACTACCTATTTGTACTTCCTAATCCCTTTACCTCTTCATCCATTCTCCTTCTCCCCTTCCCATCTGGCAATCATCAAATAGATCTCTATATCCATGATTCTGTCTCTGTTCTTGTTTGCTTATTTTGTTTTTTTAATTTAATTATTGATAGCTATATACTTATTGCCATTTTATTGTTCATAGTTTTGATCATCTTTTTCTTAAATAAGTCCCTTTACCAATTCATATAGTAATGCTTCAGTGATTATGGACTCCTTTAGTTTTTTTTTTTTTTCTTTTGTGGGAAGCTGCTTTATCTGCCCTTCAATTCTAAATGATAGTTTTGTTAAGTAGAGCAATCATTGCTGTAAGTCCTCATTTTTCATGACTGAATATTTCTTGCCAATCCCCTATAACCTGAAAAGTCTCTTCTGAGAAATCAG